TGGACAGATATCTTGTGCGACAGAGGTCCAGTGACTCTTAAGCTGGTCCTAGTGGCATTAAAAGAAGAAGGGAAGTAACCCCGAAAAAGGACTTGCCACCTCAAGTCCTAATGGAAGGGGATTCCCCTTCTAAACACTAAGACCATCAACACACTCCCCTCTTCCCATCCCATCAATCATCACCAGATCTTCAATAAAGGTAAGTGTCATGTAACTGTGCATGTGTTCTTCAGTTTGTGTGTATTAAAATTAATATTTCATGTGTTAAAATTTTTTTTTTCAATACTTTTGGGTGTCTTGCACGGATTAATTTGATTTCCATTATTTCTTATGGGGAAAATTAACTTGACTAACGATTATTTTGACTAACGATGAGCTCTCATGAACCGATTAATAGCGTTAGTCGAGGGTCCACTGTATGTGAAAAGGCAAGGCAGTTGCATGCGGATCTCATTAAGAAAATGATGAATTTAAGGCCAGTAAAGGCTGGTTTGAGAGATTTAAGAATTGTAGTGGCATACACAGTGTGATAAGGCATGGTGAAGCTGCCAGTTCTGACAAAAAAAGAGGGGCTGAAAAATATCTGCAGGATTTTATGGGGTACATAGAGGCTGAAAAATTAAAACCCCAACAAGTGTTCACTTGTGACAAAACAGGCCTGTTTTGGAAGAAAATGCCAAACAGGACCTACATTACTCAGGAGGGGATTGCAAAGTGAAGCCTTTACTCGTGTATCACTCTGAAACTTCCAGTGTGTTCAAGAAAAACAGTGTCGTCAAGACTAAATTGTGTGTGATGTGTAGAGCACACATGGGGCACTAGGGGCATTTTCCTCAATTGGTTCTATGACATGTTTGGCCCCAGTGTGAAAAAATACCTCTTGGAAAATAAATTGCCACTCCAGTGCCTCCTGTTAATGGACAATGCTCCTGCTCATCCTCAAGACTTGGAAGAGCAAATTGAGGGGAGTTTAGTTTTATTAAAGTCAAGTTTTTTCCTCCTAGCACCACTCCTCTCCTCCAACCCATGGACCAGCAGGTCATTTCAAACTTCAAAAAAAACTGTACACGAAAGCAGTGTTTCAAAAGTGCTTTGAGAGTTCTAAGAGTGCTAAGAGAGTTCTGGAAAGATCACTTCAGTATCTTCAGTTGCATAAACCTTATAGATAAGGCTTGGGAGAGAGTGACTTGCAGGACTTTGAACTCTGCTTGGAGAAAATTGTGGCCAGAATTTGTACAAGAGAGGGATTTTGAAAGGTTTGGGGCTACCCTGAGGAGCCTATGCCAGTTGTGGAATCTATTGTGGCATTGGGGAAGTCCATGGGGTTGGAAATTAGTGGCAAGGATGTGGAAGAGTTGATGGAGGACGATGATGAAGAGCTTACCACTACAGAGCTGCAAGAGCTTGAGGTGTAACAGCAACAGACCACAGCTCAGGAATTTCCTTCAGAGGAGGAGGAAGAGAGATGGAGGAAGTTGCCTTCATCAAAGATTAAGGACATTTGTGCAAAGTGGGTTGAAGTGCAAACCTTTATGGATGAGCATTACCCTGACACAGCTGTTGCAGGTTGTATTAGCAACATGTACAATGACAATTTTGTGTCCCATATTAGGGAAATCTTAAAGAGACGCCAGAAACAGAGCTCTCTGGACAGACTTTTGGTGCGACAGGGGGCCCAGTAACTCTCAAGCTGGTCCTAGCACAAAAAACAATAGATTATTACGAAACGTTTTGTATGAATGCGCAGAGTAATGTTCACACAATGAGAAAAAAAGCCAGACTGACTCACAATTCTTGCGTGGGATGCTTTGTGTGGGCGTGTTTTGACAGAAGAAGAAAAACATCGCAATGTATTTATTTAATTGCAGTATTCATTTATTTTATCAATAATAAATAATACTAACAAAATTTAGACTTAATATAGGTTAGGTAGGATTAAGATATTTACATTACGTTGTTGCCATTATGAAAACAAAATACCCTTCCTGGTTGACAATAAAAGGAGTAGAAACCACAAGTCATTGTTTCATCAATGACTGAGTCATGAAACTTTGCTTTGAAAATTAAGCTTACAAGTTACACTTACAAATTTAAGTAACTTGTTTCACAATAATAAAAACTTTCATTTAGTTCCTCTCAAGGAAGTTGACTTGATGCTGGAGAAAGGTTCTTGATCCCAAGAACTGGTGTTGTTCTCCCCTTCCTTGACTCAAGACTGACTGCCTCCTTTTCCCAAGTACTGCTTAATCCCTTCAGGTTTATTGCTCCCCTCATAAATGTAATTTAATGACAATTGTAAAAAATTTAAATTTTTTATTAAATATTTGAAAAGCCAATTAAAAACTGCTGGGAAAATATTGAATTTTAATGTTTTGTTTACAAAAATTACTTAAAGAAAGAACAAGCTAAGTTAAAGGGTGCCACTATTTAAATTTGACAACAACTGAGTTAATGCATATTTAATATCCAATAATACACGCATAAGCTTGTACAGTGTACTTTTTAGCTTATATACAAGTTATAACATTATCAGCAAACAAAAGAAAAATTTAGAGAGACTATCTATTTGTGAAGGAAGAGGCAGCACAGATTCAACAGCCTTACATAATAATCAACTTTGCAATATTTTCTTAACCCCTTAACAGTCCAACCATAGATTTACATTCTTAACGCTAGCGCTTGAAATGTAGATCTATTTTATTTTTCCTGCCTCCAATTTTGGCACAATTGGCCTGAAATGCCTGGTCAGCATAGAATGGGTCTTAACACTCAGTGTGTGCAGTATTAAAAAATTCTGGGACCACTTAGTACCTTGTGGGAGCACCAGTTCAATTGAGTGCCAGCTAGAGCAAACTGAGCGGCAAACACCTGGGATTCACTGATGTCATGTAGTATTAACAAAATCCTCAGGAGGCCTGGTCACAGACCGGGCCGCGGGGGCGTTGACCCCCGGAACTCTCTCCAGGTAAACTCCAGGTAAACTAACCCATGTGCAACATCCTTTCAATTTTGGTACCACTGGTAGTGTCATCCTGTCAGAATATCTTATAATCTATGCCCTAAGTAAAGAGAAACAATTCTGGAACATGCAATACATGTTCAGCAGGCTGGCTGGCTCTCTGTTTATCTGTCTCTGCTTATCTGTCTTTCTGTCTCTGTCTGTCTCTCTTTCTGTCTCTCTGTCTCAGAGAGAGCCACTTGTGAGCCAACAGGTATTGCTTACTATGCATGATATCGACAAGCACAGTACAGTGGACCCCCGCATAACGATTACCTCCGAATGTGACCAATTATGTAAGTGTATTTATGTAAGTGCGTTCGTACGTGTATGTTTGGGGGTCTGAAATGGACTAATCTACTTCACAATATTTCTTATGGGAACAAATTCGGTCGGTACTGGCACCTGAACATACTTCTGGAGTGAAAAAGTATCGTTAACCGGGGGTCCACTGTATAGCACTTTGTCTGGATTTTTTTGGACTATTCTAGGTAATTTACACTACGTATAAGTGTATTTATGTGTACCTGGCCAGCCAGCTGGCTGGCCGGCAGCTGACTTGGCTGGCTGATTGACTTTGGCTGTCTCTATCTCCGTCTGTCTTTCTCTGTCTCACAGGTACACATAAATTCAATTATACATAGTGTAAATTACCTAGGATAACCCAAGAAATCCAGACAAAATGCTATACTGGGCTTGTCGATATAATACATAGTAAGCACGACTGGCAAGTAATGTATATTTACACTTGCTCAGGAATCAGATGTGACGATGCAATTGTGTGTAATACCTGTTGGTTCATGAGTGGCTCTCTCTGAGACAGAGAGAGATTAAGCAGAGACAGATAAACAGAGGTAGACAGACAGACAGACATATTTATGTGAAAAAGTGAAAACAAATTAAGCCAAGCCATTGCATGCTCATCAAATGTCACCATTGCTGCACTGGAATGACTCATCTTACACCATGATTCAAGGAAGCTTATTCTTATTACTATTATTACTATTATTATTATTATTATTATTATTATTATTATTATTATTATTATAATAGTCCCGCATATCCAAAACTTTGCTGGGACTTACAAATACTATGTATATATTTTTAGACAATAGTATGTGACTAAGGTAGGTGAAAATGTTCACCTGTCACTGTGTTTGTGACTATTTGAGTACTATTTCAGTACCTAATATTAGTGTCAGAACGAAGATTAGCTATGAAATCACAAGAACTACTACAAATTGTAATTATCAGAACATAAAAATTATACAAATTAAAAAAAATGAGAAAAAAAGGTATAATGGCAAAACTTCTGCAAACGGCAGCTCTTCATGTTGCCGTCAGGAGAGTGACAAGCATTTTGTGTAAAAAAAGTCCTGTTTATTTAAAAAAAAAAAAAAGTTTTTTTTTTTTTTTCAAAATATTCGGAGTGCTGTGCAAGAGAACGCAGGTCTACGTTTGGACAGTTAAGGGGTTAAATATACAAATGATTGAGGTATTTGAACATTTAGAAAAGATGTAGAAAAACATGATAACTAGTCGAGTATAAATATGGGGTGCAGGGAAGGAAGGATAAGAGTCGTCTTAGGATAGGAATAGGGGAGTGTGTACAAGAAATTTTGAGTGCTAGGTAATCTGACATCCAACAAGCTTGTGAGAGTATGACAGGGGTGAGTGGAAGCGGGTAATTTTAATGATCTGACGGTCTACTGTGGTATGACCAAGGTAACATTTATGAAGGGATTGAGGAAAACCAGTTAGCTAGACTTGAGTCCTGGAGGTGAAAAGTATAGTGCCTGCACTCTGAAGGAGGGGTGAGGATGTTACAGTTTTGAGGGTCAGAACTGTAATGTCAGCACCATTTTGGCAAGACAGTAATTGAATGAATGACAAGGAAGGTGTTTTTTTTTTTTTTGTTGGGTCATCCTACCTCAGTTGGAGATGGCAGGAGTGTTAAATAACTGTTGCAAAATGGAGATGTAAAAAACTATTTTATCTGTACCTCTGGTCCATCATCATCAGCACGGTGTGAAGCAAATGGATCACGTTGTTCATGGTCTAAGTACTTCTCCAAGTTGAAGAATGTGTCAAAAAATATGGGAGTCATACGACACTTTTTCAGGTCCCTAAGAGAAATCTTGTCAATTTCCTCTGGTCGAACCATATCTAACATCTGTAAAACATGCAGATTTTGTTAACAGTTTGTTAAACATTTCAAAGAACAAATTCAATAAATTTAAAGAATAACACAGTTACCTTATGAGAAGCTAGTGTAATTTGATTTTGTATGAAGATAAGAAATAAATACTGATCATGGTATTAGCCAGCACAGCATATTATAGTACATAATAATGAGTAGCAGTAGCCAGTAGGCCTGCCGCAGTGTACCTTCTTTTTTATGTTCTTAGCACACTTGTATGGGTGTGTTTAACACTGCAGAGAGGAGGCTGAAAACAGTGGAGATGTTGTGTCTGAGGGCAATGTGTGGTGTGAATATTATGTAGGGAATTCATAGTCTTGATATTAGGAGGAGGTACAGGGTTACTAAAAATATTATTCATGGGGTAGAAGTGGTTAGGACATTTAAAGAGAAGTGAATGAAGGCAAGTGGGTTTTATGATTTGATATACTGTTAGAGGCAAGGTAACACTTATGAATGGATTCAGGGAAACTGGTTAGCCAGACTTGAGTCCTGGAGATGTTGAAGTACAGTGCCTGTACTCTGAAGGAGAGGTGGGGATATTGCCATTTGGAGGGGAACCTGAGCTGTAATGTCAGCACACCTCTGGCACGACAGTGATAGTGAGTAATGGTGAAAGTGTTTCTTCTTTATTGGGCTACCCTATCTCTCTGGGTGATGGCTGGTGCATTAAAAAATAAACAGCATATGACAGAGTGGCAAATGTTCGAAGTGTATGATATTAATAGGTTACTTTAAAGTGGTATAGGGTTTTCATGCAGATAGTGAGGATCAGGTTAGGGTATGTAGGAGAGTGGGATGTGTGATGTCATCATGGTTTAATATATTTATAGACTGGTTATAAGACGAGAATTCAAGGGAAGTGCAACCCAAACAGCTTCAAATGATCATGAGGGAGATGATGTTTATACAGTAGAAGCCCCGTATCCACAGATTCGGTTTTCGTGGTTTCAGTTATCTGGGGGTTTACCGTGGCCCAAAAATAACCCTTAATTTTGCTTAATAATGACACCAAAGCACAAAAGTAGTGATGATGGCAATTCTTCAAAGCCTAAGAGAAGTGGTGAAGTGCTTCTTAGTGAAAAAGTAGTAATTCTCCACTCACTGTGCATTATTTATCAATTAAACTTTATTATAGGCATTTATGTAAACCCTAGGTAGTAAGCTGGTAGACAGCAACCACCCAGGGAGGTACTATCGTCCTGCCAAGCAAGTGTAAAACAAAAGCCTGTAATTGTTTTACATGATGGTAGGATTGCTGGTGTCTTTTCTTTGTCTCATAAACATGCTAGATTTCAGGTACGTCTTGCTACTTCTACTTACACATAGGTCACACTACACATATTTGTACAAGCCTATATATACACACCCCTCTGGGTTTTCTTCTATTTTCTTACTGGTTCTTGTTCTTGTTTATTCCACTTATCTCCATGAGGAAATGAAACAGAATTCTTCCTTCGTAAGCCATGTGTGTCATAAGAGGTGACTAAAATGCCGGGAACAAGGGGCTAGTAACCCCTTCTCCTATATAAATTACTAAATTTAAAAAGAGAAACTTTTGTTTTTCTTTCTGGGCCACCCTGCCTCGGTGGGATATGGCTGGTTTGTTGAAAGATGATGATGTATGTAAACAAAAAAAATTACTTATATATAGGGTTTGCTATTATCTGAAGTCTCAGGTATCCATGGTAGGTCTTGGAATGTTATTTTTATTATCACACTGGCCGATTCCCACCAAGGCAGGATGGCCCGAAAAAGAAAAACTTTCACCATCATTCACTCCATCACTGTCTTGCCAGAAGGGTGCTTTACACTACAGTTTTTAAACTGCAACATTAACACCCCTCCTTCAGAGTGCAGGCACTGTACTTCCCATCTCCAGGACTCAAGTCCGGCCTGCCGGTTTCCCTGAATCCCTTCATAAATGTTACTTTGCTCACACTCCAACAGCACGTCAAGTATTAAAAACCATTTGTCTCCATTCACTCCTATCAAACACGCTCATGCATGCCTGCTGGAAGTCCAAGCCCCACACACACAAAACCTCCTTTACCCCCTCCCTCCAACCTTTCCTAGGCCGACCCCTACCCCGCCTTCCTTCCACTACAGACTGATACACTCTTGAAGTCACTCTGTTTCGCTCCATTCTCTCTACATGTCCGAACCACCTCAACAACCCTTTCCTCAGCCCTCTGGACAACATTTTCCCTGTAATCCCGCACCTCCTCCTAACTTCCAAACTACGAATTCTCTGCATTATATTCACACCACACATTGCCCTCAGACATGACATCTCCACGGCCTCCAGCCTTCTCCTCGCTGCAACATTCGTCACTCATGCTTCACACCCATATAAGAGCGTTGGTAAAACTATACTCTTATACATTCCCCTCTTTGCCTCCAAGGACAAAGTTCTTTGTCTCCACAGACTCCTAAGTGCACCACTCACCCTTTTCCCCTCATCAATTCTATGATTCATAGACCCATCCGCTGACACGTCCACTCCCAAATATCTGAATACATTCACCTCCTCCATACTCTCTCCCTCCAATCTGATATCCAATCTTTCATCACCTAATCTTTTTATCCTCATAACCTTACTCTTTCCTGTATTCACTTTTAATTTTCTTCTTTTGCACACCCTACCAAATTCATCCACCAATCTCTGCAACTTCTCTTCAGAATCTCCCAAGAGCACAGTGTCATCAGCAAAGAGCAACTGTGACAACTCCCACTTTATGTGTGATTCTTTATCTTTTAACTCCACGCCTCTTGCCAAGACCCTCACATTTACTTCTCTTACAACCCCATCTATAAATATATTAAACAACCACGGTGACATCACACATCCTTGTCTAAGGCCTACTTTTACTGGGAAATAATTTCCCTCTTTCCTACATACTCTAACTTGAGCCTCAAATACAGGGGGACGACAATTTTCATACTTATAAAGAGGCGGTTTGGATTATTTTTGCAGGCACTGTATCTTATGGGTACAGTCCTTTTAAAGAGTCTGAATGATGAATACAGTTCAGTAATACAGATAGTAAATTAACATGCTTCATTCACTGACCTGACAAAGACAGTCATGAAATGGCAGAGTTTCAATCCCCAAGGCTTCCATGCGTTGCAGTTGCTCTTCATAGAAGTATTCCAGCTCATACATAGATAGGTACCCATCTCCATCAAGGTCCATACATCTGAATGGCAATAATCATTATATTAAATTAATTTTGTAAGATCAACTATTTTTTTTACGGGGATTGGGGGCAGTCATGATTACCCTTTTCTTAGTGACAAACAATATAAAATATTTCATCAAGATACACTTGTTTACCCTGAATATAAACTGTATTTTGAGTTTACCTAAACCAATACTCTATAGCAGTTGGATGTCGTTTGTCTTCTTCAGAAATAAGGAACCATACAAACTCTTGATAACCCATACGGTCTTGCTTTTGTAACCGTCCTCTTGTCACTGCTCCACTAAATATACGCTCAATCATACGCCAAGAAAGTGCTGGAAGAAAAAATTTGTTTACAAGTGTAAATAAGCATTTAACTTTCAAAATATTAAGTTATTCTATAAACAAAAATATACAAAAAATTATATCTGACTTACCTCTTTCATTGTGTTTGGCCAAATCATGCTTATCTATGAACAAATCATGATCTGTGTCCAGTTCCCAGAACTTGCAATAAATTACATAAAAGTGCTCATAACTGAAGTAATCTGTAATTTGGTTAATATCTTCTTCCTCTTCTAAATAGCTTATTACCTGCAAGGATTAAAAGGATTGTAATCAGGCAATTTTTTTTTGCTTACATACAGTACTTGTATATAAATAAAACAGAAAACAGATCTCTGTAAAGTTTGCTCATAAACCCCTCTGAGTTTTTTAGTCAATCCCAGGACAGGTCAAATCAAGCGTGATACTAACCAAGGGCAATATTTACTGCGGGCTTGAATCCTCAGAACTTTTTTTTTTTTTTTTTTTTCAACAAGTCGGCCGTTTCCCACCGAGGCAGGGTGACCCAAAAAAAAAGAAAGAAAATCCCCAAAAAGAAAATACTTTCATCATCATTCAATACTTTCACCACACTCGCACATTATCACTGTTTTTGCAGAGGTGCTCAGAATACAACAGTCCAGAAGCATACACATATAAAGACACACAACATATCCCTCCAAACTGCCAATATCCCAAACCCCTCCTTTAAAGTGCAGGCATTGTACTTCCCATTTCCAGGACTCAAGTACGACTATATGAAAATAACCGGTTTCCCTGAATCCCTTCACTAAATATTACCCTGCTCACACTCCAACAGATCGTCAGGTCCCAAGTACCATTCGTCTCCATTCACTCCTATCTAACACGCTCACGCACACATGCTGGAAGTCCAAGCCCCTTGCCCACAAAACCTCCTTTACCCCCTCTCTCCAACCCTTTCGAGGATGACCCCTACCCCGCCTTCCTTCCCCTATAGATTTATATACTTTCCATGTCATTCTACTTTGATCCATTCTCTCTAAATGACCAAACCACCTCAACAACCCCTCTTCTGCCCTCTGACTAATACTTTTATTAACTCCACACCTTCTCCTAATTTCCACACTCCGAATTTTCTGCATAATATTTACACCACACATTGCCCTTAAACAGGACATCTCCACTGCCTCCAACCGTCTCCTCGCTGCTGCATTTACCACCCAAGCTTCACACCCATATAAGAGTGTTGGTACTACTATACTTTCATACATTCCCTTCTTTGCCTCCATAGATAACGTTTTTTGACTCCACATATACCTCAACGCACCACTCACCTTTTTTCCCTCATCAATTCTATGATTAACCTCATCCTTCATAAATCCATCCGCCGACACGTCAACTCCCAAGTATCTGAAAACATTCACTTCTTCCATACTCCTCCTCCCCAATTTGATATCCAATTTTTCTTTATCTAAATCATTTGACACCCTCATCACCTTACTCTTTTCTATGTTCACTTTCAACTTTCTACCTTTACACACATTCCCACACTCATCCACTAACCTTTGCAATTTTTCTTTAGAATCTCCCATAAGCACAGTATCATCAGCAAAATGTAACTGTGTCAATTCCCATTTTGAATTTGATTCCCCAAAATTTAATCCCACCCCTCTCCCGAACACCCTAGCATTTACTTCCTTTACTACCCCATCTATAAATATATTAAACAACCATGGTGACATTACACATCCCTGTCTAAGACCTACTTTTACCGGGAAGTAGTCTCCCTCTCTTCTACACACCCTAACCTGAGCCTCACTATCCTCATAAAAACTCTTTACAGCATTTAATAACTTACCACCTATTCCATATACTTGCAACATCTGCCACATTGCTCCTCTATCCACTCTATCATATGCCTTTTCTAAATCCATAAATGCAATAAAAACTTCCCTACCTTTATCTAAATACTGTTCACATATATGCTTCAATGTAAACACTTGATCTACACATCCCCTACCCACTCTGAAACCTCCTTGCTCATCCGCAATCCTCCATTCTGTCTTACCTCTAATTCTTTCAATTATAACCCTACCGTACACTTTTCCTGGTATACTCAGTAAGCTTATTCCTCTATAATTTTTACAGTCTCTTTTGTCCCCTTTCCCTTTATATAAAGGGACTATACATGCTCTCCGCCAATCCCTAGGTACCTTCCCCTCTTTCATACATTTATTAAACAAAGTACCAACCACTCCAACACTATATCCCCCCCTGCTTTTAACATTTCTGTCATGATCTCATCAGTTCCAGCTGCTTTACCCCCTTTCATTTTACGTAATGCCTCACGTACCTCCCCCACACTTACATTCTGCTCTTCTTCACTCCTAAAAGATGGTATACCTCCCTGACCAGTGCATGAAATTACTGCCTCTGTTTCTTCCTTAACATTTAAAAGTTCCTCAAAATATTCTTGCCATCTACCTAATACCTCCATCTCCCCATCTACTACTAACTCCCCTACTCTGTTTTTTAAACTGACAAATCCATATTTTCCCTAGGCTTTCTTAACTTGTTTAACTCACTCCAAAATTTTTTTCTTATTTTCATTAAAATTTCTTGACAGTGCCTCTCCCACTCTATCATCTGCTCTCCTTTTGCACTCTCTCACCACTCTCTTTACCTTTCTTTTACTCTCCATATACTCTGCTCTTCTTATAACACTTCTGCTTTGTAAAAACCTGTCATAAGCTACCTTTTTCTCTTTTATCACACCCTTTACTTCATCATTCCACCAATCACTCCTCTTTCCTCCTGCCCCCACCCTCCTATAACCACAAACTTCTGCCCCACATTCTAATACTGCATTTTTAAAACTATTCCAACCCTCTTCAACCCCCCCACTACTCATCTTTGCACTAGCCCACCTTTCTGCCAATAGTCGCTTATATCTCACCCGAACTTCCTCCTCCCTTAGTTTATACACTTTCACCTCCCTCTTACTTGTTGTTGCCACCTTCCTCTTTTCCCATCTACCTCTTACTCTAACTGTAGCTACAACTAAATAATGATCCGATATATCAGTTGCCCCTCTATAAACATGTACATCCTGGAGCCTACCCATCAACCTTTTATCCACCAATACATAATCTAATAAACTACTTTCATTACGTGCTACATCATACCTTGTATATTTATTTATCCTCTTTTTCATAAAATATGTATTACTTATTACCAAATTTCTTTCTACACATAGCTCAATTAAAGGCTCCCCATTTACATTTACCCCTGGCACCCCAAATTTACCTACTACTCCCTCCATAACATTTTTACCCACTTTAGCATTGAAATCCCCAACCACCATTACTCTCACACTTGATTCAGTACTGTTGTGATAAAATAACCCAAAATGTTATCACTTGACATGAGTACCAAATGGCAAGCAAAGGTAATATAGTCCAAGGGTGAAGGAGATTTACAGTAGGCATCAAATTACTCTGTATTTTATATCAATCTTAACTGGATGAAAAAGCATATGAAATGACCTAAAGATGCCTCTAGATTACCACAAAGTCAAAAAACAGTATGGAGAAACTTCTACATAAGTTTACAGTTCAAGGATCAAAATTAATATAATATCCTTTTCTGTATGAGAATAATTCAGTACAGTATAAAGCAGTCAGTCTAGAAACACAAGTTAGGAATTAAACAATGAAGTATTTAAATATTGTACTAGCCAAGGCTAGTTTATTAAGCATAATGATAAAGATACTCTTAAAATGAATAGTGTGCAGCAAATTTAGGGTGGCTTTACATGTGAGTAGGTGTTAAGTTATGATGGAACCAGGTTGCATTAGAAGAAAAGCTCTCAAAAATCTACTTCATCCCCTGAACATTTATCAAGGCTCTAAGACAGCCAAGGTGTATTATACATCTAGTAGGTGGCAAAAATGATGCAAATTTAAGCTTTAGCACATATTAGTACAGCATACTAAAACAGCAAGAGGTATGAAGAATGTGAATAGAAGAAACCTCCTAAAAACAGAACATTCAAATGAGAAAGTTTCAGTAACACTATAGAGACTACTTTGCTGTGCATTTCTGTTCAGTTGCTGAAACATTCTACCATAAAGGGGACATTGCTCACCAGGTCTAAATTTCACTATAATTTTTCACTATAATTTTTCCAACCATGATTTTTATAACAGCGTACTGTATATTAAAAAGTGTAAAACCATATATAAAAAGAAAAAATGCAACTTACTTGTAACAAGTTTGATCTCCTAAGTTCTGGTAAAGTTATTCTGCCAGACCATGATCTATTTACACAATAATATATTCTTGCTATGACCTGTAATGAAAGAATTTATGAGAACATTTTAAATAAACTATAATCTGACAATTCTAAAGCAAAAACCTCAGCCTAAAGAATATTTGGCAAACTGAAGTACAGTAGTCCACCAGCTCTAGTAACACACTGAGGCAAACTGAGTGACGGTAAAAGGGTTTAAAAACCCCGGGGTTTAAACGGGGGGAAAAAAAAAAATTTTAATTAAAAAAAAAAATTTTTGGGGGAAAAATTTATTGGGGGGGAAAAAAAAAATTTTTTCCAAAAAAAATTTTTTTTTTTTAATGGAAAAAAAGGGGGGGAAAAAAATTTTTTTAAAAAAAGGAAAAAAAAAAAAATTTCATTTTGGGGGGAAAAATTTTTTTAAAAAAAAAAAAAAAAAAAAGGGGGGGGGGGGTTTTTTTTAAAAAAAAAAAAGGGGAAAAAAAAAATTTTAAAAAAAAAAAAAGGGGGGAAAAGAAAAAAAAAATTTTTTTTTTTAAAAAAATTTTAAAAAATTTTTTTTAAAGGGAGGGTTTTAAATTTTTTTAAAAAGGGGGGAAAAAAAGAAAAAAAAAAAAAATTTTTTAAAAAGGGGGACAGGGGTTTTAAAAAAAATTTTAAAAAAAAATTTTAAATTTTCCCTTTAAAAAAGGGTTTTTTATTTGGGAAAAAAAAATTTTTTAAAAAGGAATAAAAAAATTTTAAAAAAATTTTTTTTAAAAAATTTTATTTAAAAAAAAAAAGGGGGAAAATTTTTTGGGGGGGTTTTTTAAAAAAGGGGTTTGTTAAAATTTTTTTTTAAATTTTTTTTTTCCCTTTTTTTAAAAGGGTTACCCCCCGGTTTTTAAAAAAAAAAAAAAAAAATTTCCCTTTTGTAAAAATTTTTTTGGGGTTTTTTTTTTTTTTGGGGGTTTTTTTTTAAATTTTTTTTTTTTAAAAAAAAAGGAAAAATTTTTTTTTAAATTTTTTTAAAAAAACCCCCCAAAAAAATTTTTTAAAAAGGGGGGGGGGGGGGGGGAAAAAAAAAAGGAAACAAAAAAAAGGAAAAAAGGGGGAAAAAAATTTATTTTTTAAAAAAAAAAAAAAAAAAAATTTTTTTTTTAAAAAAATTTTTTTTTTATTTTTTTTTTTTTTTTTTTATTTTTTTTTTTTTTAAAAAAAAATTTTTCCCCATTTTTATATTTTTTTTTTTTTTTTTTTTTAAAAAAAAAAAAAAAAAAAAAATTTTAAAAAAAATTAAAAAAAGGGAAATTTTTTTTTTTTTTTTTGGGGGGGGGAAAAAAAAAGGGGGGGGGTTTTAAAAAAAAATTTAAAAAAAAATTTTTTTTAAAAAAAAAAATTTAAAAAAAAATTTTTTTTTTTTAAAAAAAAAAAATTTTTTGGGGGGGAAAAGGGGGGGGGGTTTTTTTTTTAAAATTTTTTTTCCCCCTTTAAAAAAAAAAAAAATTTTTCCCCCCCCCCCTTTTTTTTTTTTGGGGGAAAAAGCCCCCCCCCCCCCATTTTTTAAAAAAAAAAAAGACAAAATTTAAAAAGGGGGGGGTTTTTTTTAAAAAAAAAGGGGGGAAAAAAGGGTTTTGGAATTGGGGTTTTTTTAATAAAAAAAAAAAAAATTTTTTTTGGGAAAATTTTTTTAAAAAATTTTCCCCCCGGGGTTTTTTAAAAATTAAAAAAAAATTTAATTTTTTTTTTTTAAAAAATTTTTAAGGGGGGGGGAAAAGAAAAATTTTTTAAAAAAAAAAAAGGGGGTTTTTAAAAAAAAATTTTTTTTAAAATTTTTTAGAAAAAAAAAGGGGTTGGGGGGGGAAAGGGGGTTTTTTTTTGGGGGGGGGGGTTTTTAAAAAGGGGGGAAAAAAATTTTTTTAAAAGGGGGGGGGGGTTTTTTTTTTGGGGGGGGGAAAAAGGGGGGGGTTTTTTAAAGGGGGGAATGTTTTTTTAAAATTTTTGGGGGGGGGAAAAAAAAAGGGGGGGGGGGGGGGGTTTTTTGGGAAAAAAAAATTTGGGGAAAAAATTTTTTGGGAATTTTTTTGGGGGGGGGGAAAAAAAAAAGGGGAAAAGGGGGGGGGGGGGGGGGGGGGGGGGAAAAAAGGGGGGAAAAAAAAAAATAATTTGGGGGAAACCTTTTTGGGAAAAAAAAGGGGGGGTTTTGGGGGGGGGGGGTTTGGGGGGGGTTTTTTTTTAAAATTTTGGGGGGGGGGGGGGGGGGGGGGGGGGGGGGGGGGGGGGGGAAAAAAGGGTTTTAAAAAAAAAAATTTTTTTTTTTAAAAAAATTTTTTTTAAAATTTTTAAAAAAAAATTTTTTTTTTTAAAAAAAAAAAAATTTTTTTTTTTTTTTAATTTTTTAAAACCCATTTTTTAAAAAAAGGGGAAAAAGGGGGGAAAAAATTTTTTTTTGGGGGGGGGGGGGGGGGAAAAAAAAAATTTTAAAAAAAAAATTTTTTTTTTAAAAAATTTAATTTTTTTTAAAATTTTAAAAAATTTTTTTTTTTAAAAAATTTAAAAAAAAAAAAAATTTTTTTTTTTTTTTAATTTTTTTTTGGGGGGGAAAAAAAAGGGGGTTTAAAAAAAATTTTTTCCCCCTTTTTGGGGGGGGGGTTTTTTTCCCATAAGATTTTCCCTTTGGGGTTTCTTTTTTTTTAAAAGGGAAAAACCCCCAAAAAACCCCTTCCCCCGGGGAAAATTTTTTTTTTTTTAAAAAAAATTTTTTTTTTTTTTAAAAAAAAAAAAACCCCCCCCGGGGGTTTTCCCAAAAATTTTTAAAAAAAAAATTTTTTTTTTTAAAAAAAAAAAAGGGGGGGTTTTTTTTTTTGGGGGGGAAAAAAAAAAATTAAAGGTGAATACAAAAAAGGGGGGTTTTGGGGAAAAAAGGGGAAAAAAAAAAGGGGGGTATAAAATTTAAAAAAGGGGGGGGAGGGGGAAGGGAAAAAAAAGGGGGGGAAAGGGAAAAGGGGGGGGGGGGGGTTTAAATTTTTTGGGGGGGGGGGGAAAAAAGGGGGGGTTTTTTTTTTTGGGGGGAAAAAAATTTTTTGGGGGAAAAAAGGGGGGGGGTTTTTTCCAATTTTTGGGGGAAAGGGGGTTGATAAAATTTGGGGGGAAAAAGGGGGAGGCATTGGATTTTTTTTTTGGGGGAAATGTGGGTTGTGAATATAATGCAGAGAATTGGTTTTGGAATTGGGGGGGGGGGAAAAAATTTGGTCCAGAGGGATGGGAAAAGGGTTTTTGAGGTGGTTCGGACTGTGGGGAGAATGGAGCGAAACAGAAAAACTTCAAAAAGTGTATCAGTTGTAGTGGAAGGAAAAGGGGGGGGTGGGGTCGGCCTTTGGAAAGGGGGTTTGGGGGGGGGGGTTTAAAAAGGGGGTTTTGTTTTGCGAGGGGTTGGACTTTTCCCAGGAAAAGCCCGGGGGCGTGTTTGGTAGGAGGGGAATTTGGGGACAAATGGTTTTTAATTTGACGTGCTGTTGGAGTGTGAGCAAAAATAAATTTTTGAAGGGGTTCAGGGAAACCGGCAGGGCCCCCCTTGAGTCCCGGAGATTTGGGGAAATACGTGCCTTTAAATCTGAAGGGGGGTGGTTAAAGTTTTCAGTTTTAAAAAACTTTAGTGTAAAACACCCCTTTTTGGGAAAACAGTGATGGAGGGGGAAAAGATGGTGAAAATTTTTTTTTTTTGGGGCCCCCCCTGGCCCTTTGGGGGGGAATCGGGCCCGGGGTGGAAAAAATTAAAATATAAAAATTAATTTTATAATATTTATTTTATATCTTTTATATTATTTTTATAAAATATATATTTATATTTTAAAATAAATTTATATATTTATATATAATATATAAAAATATATTTTTTTAATTTATTTTTTTGGGTTTGGAAAAAGGCTTTTGCAAGGGGGGGGGGGGGAAAAATGGGGTTTTTGAAGGGGAAATTTTTTTGGGGGTTCTGAAACGGAAAATTTTTAAATACCGGGAACAAATTAAGTATTTATGGGAAAAGGGAAAATTATTTCCGTAAAAGGGGTTTCCCGGTGTGTGTGTTGTGGTTGTTTAATTAAATTTATAATTTTAAAAAATAAATATTTTAATATTAAATATTTAAAAAACCACACAAATCCATTTCACACTTTTTTATACACCTTTCTTGGGGGTTTTTTTGAAAAAGGGTTCTTGGTTTATTAAATTTTTTTTATTCCAAAAAAGGGAAAATGGGAAAAAGGAAAATGGGTTCCCCCGGGGAACAAAAAAAGGTGTTGTAAAATTAACCAAATTTGGGGGGGAAAAAAAATGGTATTAACACCTTTTTGTTTAAAGGGGGTTTTAAAAAAGGGGAAAAAGAAGAAGGGGAAAAGGGGGAAAATGGGAATTGGGAAGTTCGTGGAGGTAGTTTTTCCGGGGGAAAGAAAGGGGGTTTATTTTGGGATGTTTTAAAGAAGGGGCTGGAAGCTGGTTTAAGTTTCAAAACGAAGGGGGGTGGGGGGCCCGTGGAAAAAGGGAAAAAGGGGAAAGGTGGGGTTTCAAAATTGAGTTTGGAAATAAAAAAGGAGGGGCAAAAAAAAGTTTGAGGGATAAAGGGGGATGGCGGAAAAAAGAGAGGAAAAAGGAATTTAATTCAAAAAGGATTTTGTGGGAAAATATGGTTGGAAAATTTGGGTAGGGGGTTTTAAAAGGTTTTTTGCACCTTTGGGGGTTAAAAGAAGGTGAGGTGGGAGGATTGGTGGGGAAAAAGGTTTTTAAATTTCGTGGGGGTGTTTTAAATAAATTTATAAAGGGGTTGGGCCGGGAAGGGGATTAAAAATTTGGAAGGGGGTAGTAAAGGTAAAGGGGGGTTTTGGGCGGGGTTTAAAAATGGGGAAGCCCCCTTTAAAATTGGGGGTAAAGTGGGGAAAAGGGAAATTTGGTAATAAGGGGAAAATAAAAAAATTTTAAAAAAATAAAATAAATTTTAAATATATTTAAATTTAAAAATTTTTAAATTTTTTATTTAAAATTTTTGTTTTTTTGGTGGAATAAAAGGTTGAAAAAGGGTAATTTTCCAA